GTAGCTGTAGCCAAATGGCCGTCGTTGGAGAATATTAGGTCCAAAGTGTGTAGGCCACGAGTGGGACTATGTATAATTTGGGACCAGCCCTCCACACTCAGTTGTGCAAGCAGCGGAGTATAACGAGCGGGGCCCGTGGTGGAGGACTAGGAAATGTCCGGCAGGTTAAAGTCACCCAAAAGAAATTTAGACGGGTGAGGAAGGGCATGTGCGGTGAAGATAATGCGGGAGAGATCAGCAATAGAGGAGGGGGAGGGGGGAGGTGGCAAATAGATACAACCTACTAGTACAGGTCGTTTGGCATGTTCTACTGATATCCGAATGGTCTCTGGAATCCCTTCCAGAGAAGAATCGTCAAATGGGGTTGCACGAAGTTTTGACTCGGAATAGATGGCACAGCCACCACCCCTTGACTTTCCTATCGGAGTGGTAAGTATCATAGCCAGGGATTGATATGGCTGTGTCAGGAATTTCATCTGTGAGCCGTGTTTCAGTCACACAGATTATGCTTGATCGTGCAATGGCTCCAATTGCTCGGATATTATTGATTTTGGGGAGTAATGAGCAGGGCATTGAACAACATTATCGACAAGCTCATTGGCGAGCAGACGGTACTAAGTAGGAACTTTGTAACCTCTCTTACGGTGGGGTTCAGGACTGGGAAGACTGGGCACCTGGAGGTGGGTAATATGAAACAGGGTTCGGAGTCTGGGAGTGGGTATTCGATACTGGTGGTAGATGGGTAAATCTTCGCTGAAATAGGTTTGAACCCACTGGAGGAGGTACTGTATCAGGCTCAGTATAGGGTACGGAATGGCTTTGGGACGAGAGCATGCAGTTGAATGTAAAGTTGTCGGCTGTCATCTGAGTCGGCAGGCATGGAGGGAGATAGGATGCAAAAGGGGGTGGCGGCTGTGGAGGGATGCGTGGTCGCCGAAAATGGTATTCGGGCGGGACGAAAGCTGGTGGCTTGGGTAGTGGAAACGGATGAGGGCCTGAGCCGGTCATGGGTCGTTGTGGATACAAGCTTCCAGGCGCGCGGCGTGTATGGCTTGATGTGCTTTTTAAAGATTGTAGGGGTGAGGCTACACATAGCTTCGGAGAAGGCAAAGGAGGTAGCAGGTGAAGAGTGGGAATTTGGGATTTTGCAGGGTGAGGCTACACATGGCTTCGGAGGAGGCAGAGGAGGTTGTAGGTGAAGAGTGGGAATTTGTGGATTTTGCACAGGCAGGGGCGTTACAGTACCAGGCTTTGATAGTGGGTGTTTGAGCCTGAGGGCGCGCTTTGGTGGAAAAGGGCGAAGTGTCATTAGGTCGGGGGGTCTGAAGCGAGAGACTGTGTTCCCATCTCCGATTGTAGCACCAGATAGGGGCGGGAAAGATTCTGCGTCCGACATCACAGGGGTGAATTGTTTTGGTGCAATTGATGTCTGAGGGGGCACAGGCGGGTGTCCAAGGGTAGAAGTGGAGGGCTCATTGTCAGGAAAAAGAGATGCAGGGCTAGAGGCCATTGTGAAGGTCTGTGGGGCTTTCGGTTGCAAGCTGTCGTGACGGTATGGCGGGCTTTGGCGAGGAGGGATTCCAGGATAGTGGGGGGCTCTGCTACATCTTCGAGTTTTAGAGGATAAAGGGTCAGCTCCGGCATCTGGGGGAGTGGCTGTAATACCGATTGCTTTAGAGCAGGCTGTACTGATGTCGGGTACGGAGGGGTGTTCAATCGAACTGGAGGGGATTTTAAAGGAGGCCGGACCAGTTGACAGGTCCGGTAAGTCATTGGTTGAATCTGGTGTTCTCCGACAGCTATGTGCAGATGTATCGCCGGCGATATGACTTTCACAACTTTCCAAGGGGTTGATTTCATGAGTCATCATCATCATCATCGAAAGCATGACATCAGTGTTCAACACCGATGCTTCACTGCCGTTTCATGAGTAGTCTGTGACTGAGTCACATCGGGAGCATTTAGTGGTACGGATTGTTGAACAGAATATGGATTCGTTCGATGCTTATCAGTAGTCGGCTGCAGAAGTTCGGAGTGTGGGTTTCTTGTGAGCTGCCTTTGTAGTCTGGTACGAGCAGCCTTGCCCTTTGCGGTCTGGAATGTCTGGGTCGAGGACAGAAGGGCCTGAGATGCTAAAAGGCGCCTTGCATCGTCTTCATCTCTAAACTGCACTAGTATTGGCAACGCTAGGAGGGTTTCGACTTTCGCAGCCGCCGGGCTGTACAGACC